GGGTTGCGAGACAAGCATGGCAATTTTCATATGGAGCCATAACTGACCTGTTGACCGTGCTTCCATCGAGCGGCTCCGTGTTTCTGTCGATCTGATCTTTCGGCCGAGTCATAGAGAAACGTTCGCCAGTACCGCCTTTATACGAGTCCCTATACGATCAGAGTTGCGAGCAGCATGGCAATTTCATATGGAGCCATAACTGACCTGTTGACCGTGCTTCCATCGAGCGGCTCCGTGTTTCTGTCGATCTGATCTTTCGGCCGAGTCATAGAGAAACGTTCGCCAGTTCCGCCCTTGAAGGATTCTCTGAAACATTCAATGAGGCTGCTGAATGACCATGAAGTAGGGTAGTGTCTGGTACCTGTTTATTGTGCTTCCGTCCAGAGGATCGGTGTGTTCCTGTCAATCTGATCCTTTGGACGAGCCAGCGTGAATCTTTCACCAGTACCGCCCTTGTACGATTCCCTATACGATCAGAGTTGCGAGCAGCATGGCAATTTCATATAAAGCCATAACTGACCTGTTGACCGTGCTTCCATCGAGCGGCTCCGTGTTTCTGTCGATCTGATCTTTCGGCCGAGTCATGGAGAAACGTTCGCCAGTTCCGCCCTTGAAGGATTCTCTGAAACATTCAATGAGGCTGCTGAATGACCATGAAGTGGGGTAGTGGTAGTGTCTGGTACCTGTTTATTGTGCTTCCGTCCAGAGGATCGGTGTTCCTGTCAATCTGATCCTTTGGACGAGCCAGCGTGAATCTTTCACCAGTACCGCCCTTGTACGATTCCCTATACGATCAGAGTTGCGAGCAGCATGGCAATTTCATATGGAGCATAACTGACCTGTTGACCGTGCTTCCATCGAGCGGCTCCGTGTTTCTGTCGATCTGATCTTTCGGCCGAGTCATGGAGAAACGTTCGCCAGTTCCGCCCTTGAAGGATTCTCTGAAACATTCAATGAGGCTGCTGAATGACCATGAAGTGGGGTAGTGTCTGGTACCTGTTTATTGTGCTTCCGTCCAGAGGATCGGTGTTCCTGTCAATCTGATCCTTTGGACGAGCCAGCGTGAATCTTTCACCAGTACCGCCTTTGTACGATTCCCTATACGATCAGAGTTGCGAGCAGCATGGCAATTTCATATGGAGCCATAACTGACCTGTTGACCGTGCTTCCATCGAGCGGCTCCGTGTTTCTGTCGATCTGATCTTTCGGCCGAGTCATAGAGAAACGTTCGCCAGTTCCGCCCTTGAAGGATTCTCTGAAACATTCAATGAGGCTGCTGAATGACCATGAAGTAGGGTAGTGTCTGGTACCTGTTTATTGTGCTTCCGTCCAGAGGATCGGTGTTCCTGTCAATCTGATCCTTTGGACGAGCCAGCGTGAATCTTTCACCAGTACCGCCTTTGTACGATTCCCTATACGATCAGAGTTGCGAGCAGCATGGCAATTTCATATGGAGCCATAACTGACCTGTTGACCGTGCTTCCATCGAGCGGCTCCGTGTTTCTGTCGATCTGATCTTTCGGCCGAGTCATGGAGAAACGTTCGCCAGTTCCGCCCTTGAAGGATTCTCTGAAACATTCAATGAGGCTGCTGAATGACCATGAAGTAGGGTAGTGTCTGGTACCTGTTTATTGTGCTTCCGTCCAGAGGATCGGTGTTCCTGTCAATCTGATCCTTTGGACGAGCCAGCGTGAATCTTTCACCAGTACCGCCTTTGTACGATTCCCTATACGATCAGAGTTGCGAGCAGCATGGCAATTTCATATGGAGCCATAACTGACCTGTTGACCGTGCTTCCATCGAGCGGCTCCGTGTTTCTGTCGATCTGATCTTTCGGCCGAGTCATAGAGAAACGTTCGCCAGTACCGCCTTTATACGAGTCCCTATACGATCAGAGTTGCGAGCAGCATGGGAATTTCATATGGAGCCATAACTGACCTGTTGACCGTGCTTCCATCGAGCGGCTCCGTGTTTCTGTCGATCTGATCTTTCGGCCGAGTCATAGAGAAACGTTCGCCAGTTCCGCCCTTGAAGGATTCTCTGAAACATTCAATGAGGCTGCTGAATGACCATGAAGTGGGGTAGTGTCTGGTACCTGTTTATTGTGCTTCCGTCCAGAGGATCGGTGTTCCTGTCAATCTGATCCTTTGGACGAGCCAGCGTGAATCTTTCACCAGTACCGCCTTTGTACGATTCCCTATACGATCAGAGTTGCGAGCAGCATGGCAATTTCATATAAAGCCATAACTGACCTGTTGACCGTGCTTCCATCGAGCGGCTCCGTGTTTCTGTCGATCTGATCTTTCGGCCGAGTCATAGAGAAACGTTCGCCAGTACCGCCTTTATACGAGTCCCTATACGATCAGAGTTGCGAGCAGCATGGCAATTTCATATGGAGCCATAACTGACCTGTTGACCGTGCTTCCATCGAGCGGCTCCGTGTTTCTGTCGATCTGATCTTTCGGCCGAGTCATGGAGAAACGTTCGCCAGTTCCGCCCTTGAAGGATTCTCTGAAACATTCAATGAGGCTGCTGAATGACCATGAAGTAGGGTAGTGTCTGGTACCTGTTTATTGTGCTTCCGTCCAGAGGATCGGTGTTCCTGTCAATCTGATCCTTTGGACGAGCCAGCGTGAATCTTTCACCAGTACCGCCTTTGTACGATTCCCTATACGATCAGAGTTGCGAGCAGCATGGCAATTTCATATGGAGCCATAACTGACCTGTTGACCGTGCTTCCATCGAGTGGCTCCATATGAAATTCCCATGCTGCTCGCAACTCTGATCGTATAGGGAATCGTACAAAGGCGGTACTGGTGAAAGATTCACGCTGGCTCGTCCAAAGGATCAGATTGACAGGAACACCGATCCTCTGGACGGAAGCACAATAAACAGGTACCAGACACTACCCTACTTCATGGTCATTCAGCAGCCTCATCGAATGTTTCAGAGAATCCTTCAAGGGCGGAACTGGCGAACGTTTCTCGATGTTCCGACCCAGGAATAATCTACAGTTAGGTGGTTACCCTTTCACTGGTACGTCGCAGACGAGAGATGATTTCAAATACACTGCCCCTAAAACTTGTCCTGCAGCGAGGATTGTATCCTCAAAAAGAAGAACACTTGACCACGACAAATTCTTCTGATTGCTTGATGTTGTGCAGAACGATTTTTAGATCAGCGACTAGCTTGTGCGATTGCCATTGTATGATTTTGCCAAATGTCTTTGCCTTTCGTGTTCGCTCCACATAACATGCACCATCCTAGGATTTCATTGCATCTGGAACCCTTTACTTCACCGTTTAGTGAAGCATTGGCATTTCGATACTTCGAAAGAGTTCCATTAACGGTATTCTTTAGTGTGCCTTATTAAGCTGTATAATACAACACTGCTGCTTAACTGCAACTACTTGCAGAATATAGCTTTCTATCTTACAGCTAACATTGTAAATGGTGCATGGCAGGCAATTGCCGTCGGTTTGCTACACGTGAAAGAATTCATCAAAATACAGAACAAGTCCATCTCATGTAATCCAATCGCAGTGTCATTGTCAAGACACGGGTCCTATTTCAGCGCACGCTCGACGGTTCGAGGCGTGGAAGGTCATGGTTACGCTGGTGTCGCAGTTTGTTAGTCCAGGGAGGACTGCAAACGATGCATCAGCGACTCCACATTGTGGCTAATTGGCGATACTCCCACTCATACTCCCATGCTTCCGCAGGCCTGGGAAGGAAGCGAGAGTCAACCTGCGAACGAGAAGGCCTCTCGCCACTTTCCACGCTGTGGAGTCGCTCGTGCATCGCTCGTACCCACACTTCGCTGGCACAACACTTAGGTATTGCACGGCGCCTACGTGGCTATCGGAGTGAGGCATTTCTTCACATGCTTATGATAGCCTAAATAGTCCAGGGCCATACGCTAATGGTAAGATGGCACAAGTTCCAGACACCTTAGTCAGGCAGCGTCTTCGCATCTCGCCACAAATCTGCGACGCTTCGATAGTTTAGAGACTATTCATCTCGGCCCATTGAATCGCGCAGTATGCTGCGCCCTCAAGTGCGATCTCTGGCCTAAACAGCTACTGTATCTACCGAGATCTTTAGCGCTTAAGTTAATATTTAGAAGTAAATAGAAGTAAAAAGGCGCCATTAGTCTATGATGGGGTGTTTGACTGCAACAGCTTGTGTTGTTTACGAAAATTCCAATGCTGCATTTGCATTCCCTTGGATTTTTTGAATTTGCTGCTGTTGTGTTCGATGTTTCTTGCTGAAGAAAACCATTGTGAGCTAAATAGAAGAAGGTTTGGGGAGGTTCGAGGCAGGGTCAACCGTTCGTTCGCACTATTCCAAGGAAGGGTCGCAATGGTGGTTGGTTTTGGAGAGGGTCGCATTCAGGGGTTGAATGAGGCAATTTAGATTGAAGAGTTGGCGCACAGGGTGAGGTAGAGGTAGGTGGGAGTAGAAAAAGTTTGCCGCCGTTTCATTAGACTAATGTACCCCCCCCCCGCTCTACGCTCGTTTTGTAGAGAAAAAGTGGGCGGAGTCGGGGTAGAAAGAATCGTGGTCGTATTGGGGTGAGCCTCCTGAACTCATGGTGGTTGTGGGGGTCGCATCGAGACCCCGCAAAAGAGGGGGTCGCGAAATTTTTGAAAAAGTGCGAACGTCACGGTTGACCCTGGTTCGAGGGCGTCTAGGAGGGAGTGAGTCTGGTGACATGAGATCCTCGACCCTCAAATTTCTCACCTACTTGCTCACTAGATGTGTATCGTGTGTTCTAATCGTTTATAATGATTGTTATCTTTGTAAATGCGTTTAGTGCACTATAACAAAATATTGAGCCTCCTTCTTTCCAGGGGTAATGGTCTCAAAGAAAAATTTAAAAGGAAAGAATTCACGAAAGATTGGTGAAAACAACGTGACAACGCTCACCTCTGCAAAATGGAAACTGCCCTGCTCTGGCTCTGGTTTCTAGAAAATAAAGCAATATCTGCAGTGAAACTGTCCTCGGAACTTCTCTCGTTTCATATGTCAGTTGGCAGGGCACCCTTCCTGAATACAGAGAAATCCTACACAAACGGTTATTTCAAATCTTCAACTTCGATTGATTCCACAACACCTTTGATAGACCGCCTTTAAAACACTTAAAGAAAGTAAACAATGCGTATCACTCCACAAAAACTGTCGCTAATCTCCAAATCCCAGTGAATCAATAAGACCTGGAGAGATAATGACGAGAAATCAGACGTGATGGGTGAGTGCGCACTACAGCTGGTCTCTTGTCAATAGGGCGGTGTCAGAGTCCGCGATCCGTCACAGGTTTCGCTGATTTTCGTGATTTTAGCGATTTGCGCGTGCGCGATTCACGCGATTCACGCGACGAGGTCATGGAAATCACAAGTGCCGATCAATACTGCAAGTGTTCTCGCCGCCACTTCTGCTTGATAGTGATGGCTGAATGACGACTGCTCATGATTCCACTTGTTTCATATTCAGTGTTTCAAATGTTCAAATGGGGCACTTGCAATTTTTGCGATCCGTCGCAGGTTTCGCGCAATCGCGAAAATCAGCGAAACCTGCGACGGATCGCGGACTCTGACACCAGCCTAAAGTAGAATGAATGCTATACGAAGTTATGCGACGAGTTGCGTAGGCGTGTTCTACATCGCTGAATATCACAAAGCATGCTGCAAGCTCCCGTAACTTCTATCAGCGGAAGTTCTCTGTATGCTTCCACGTGGACGTCTGTCGGCTCCCCCACTTTCTTCACGATTTGGGGCGCGGCCGCGGCGAGCGCGGACGAGTCGATAGTGCCCGCGAACTGTGCGGGTAAATTTGAAAACGCATCACCACCACAGTTCGCGGGCACTATCGACTCGTCCGCGCTCGCCGCGGCCGCGCCCCAAATCGTGAAGAAAGTGGGGGAGCCGTCACACCCTACCCCAACTTTCGGATACCTGTATATAATCAAGACTAGAATTGCTAATAATAAAACAAACGACGAAAACACAATCACAATACAAATAACCTTACGAAGTTATACGCCTCCACCGCTTCAGCCGGCCAGGGTGAATATCGGTCGAGGAAATCCTCGACAGGGGGGTCGTACCTGTTGGGCTGGTCCATGGGGGGTCGTACTCTTGGGGGTCAGTAACAGAAGTGGTATCATGGTGCAGATAGGTAATAGGGTATAGCGCAGCAGAAAATGAAAACATCTGAAAAAAAACATGATATTAAATTTTCTTTGCAGGTTCAGTCGCTCCATTCCTCCACCTTCATGAGAAGGGCGTATTTGAAGGCAGTACAAAGAATGAAAGTGCATCCCCGCAAAGAAGACTGCCACATGTGCGCACGCGCTGCAAAGGCACCTCCTCTGCCTATCGCTCGCTCCTTCTCCCTTAATACCTCGCTGAGAATGACGCTGTTGTTAGGGACCCTGTCGGAAAAAAACGACAACCGTGAAGAAAAAGCGCTGGGCAAATGAAGTTGTTTTTTAGGTTACAGGAATAGCACAACACACTATGTCTACTACAATACAGTTTCGTTCGAAGGTCCCCATCATATAACACCTTTCAATCGATTCTGCAACTGTGAGTGGAGGAGGGATGCATGGCTTATACCAATACCAAATCGGATGATGACGATTGCTCCTATTCTTATTGTTTGCGTTCAAAGATATTGTTCTAGACACATTCCGAGTGTTGCCAACGAGTCACACTTGCAATGGTGAATGAGGGAGCGGATTTCCAGGTGGCCGGATCCGACCTCGATAGATCCTCGACGCAATTATCTCTTCAACCAAAAAGCTGTAGAAGAAAACTAAACAGACCATCAGGAAGCGCAAACCTTCCGCTTTCCAAAACTATCTTCCCTTTTTCAGGATCTTACAATATAAGAGATATATTGCTCTTGAAGTGGCAAAAACTCGCGTGAAAATTTCGGCCTCCTCGACATTTACTCGACGAAATTTGACAGACCCTATCTTTCTGCAAGGAAGGCTTCCAGAGCAATTTCGATGCTTGTTGGAAACGCGAAATCCAGCTCTATCTAACTCTACCTCAAGCTGCTTCAAAGGTTGTGAAATGGAGGAATGCAACCTTTTCATCGAGGGTGTAGATTCGGACGTTTTTTTTTTGAAATTTCGGCAAATCTGACCCAGTGACAATCGCGCCGCAGCTGCCGTTGAATCGGCCTTTGATACACTCGGCTGTTTTGATATACTCAAGCAAGAATCAAGATTGAATCGCAACCCCGTGTCTTCAGGATTTCTGTGCGTTTCTGAACGAACCTCGCCTTGAGGTCACACAAAGTTAATGCCTCTTTCCTCGAGTCGATATTTCAGTATGTACACAAAAGTATGCAGCGATGGAAGACGTGCATAGATGACAAGATGAAGCGTCCTTAGCATTATTTTGCAGAATTTTTTTTTTGATTTGTTTTGCAGGATTTATTTTAATTGAATTAATTTGCTCTGTTAGAGGGGGTCGTGCCAGGATCTCGATTTCGGGGGGGGGTCGTACCTCTGCGACCACGTACTCGACACGATTTTCACCCTGCTGCACCGCCATAGATTCGCAAGAACTACGAATGTATGAAGACCGGCATCGTCCAGGACAAACAAATCACAAGTGGCGATGCACGCAATTTAAAGAGATGGCATCACGAAAATTGCTCCAATCAGGCGGACCTAAAAGCAATGTCAATGAGTGCAAAGGTGTAAGGCCATAATTTCGTGACTCCTCCGTGAGGTACTAGGATTTTTGGAAATGGGGTGGAGGCTGGGGTACGGAAGAGCTTCGGGGTGGGCTAACAGACTTCTGTTCAAGCTAGAAGAATGAGAAATCGGATCAGCCTCTTCGGAGCTTCTTCCATCGAAAATCCTAATACCCCAGCTCAAGGTGCGGAGTCAATGCGACTCGGGAGGGTGGGGGCACTCCACATGACATAGTGGAAACTCGAACATTTCAACTTTTCACGCATGTCAAGCGACTACCCTCATCTCCCACCCTGCTAGATTGGCTACACTCCCCCTAACTCACGTAATTCTCCGCTCCACACTAAAGTAAGTGAACATGCCACGCGTAGGCAGCTCCCAACTAAAACGCACATAACGCTGTTAACGAAATCACCGAATCTATCAAAGCGTAAG